AATCCAAGACCTTCTAAAAAACGGCATAATCCAGAAGTCGAGATCCCCCTACAATAACCCAATATGGGTAGTAGACAAAAAGGGCACCGACGAGGCTGGAAACCGAAAAATGCGGCTAGTTTTAGACTTTCGAAAATTGAACGAGAGGACAATACCGGATCGCTACCCTATGCCAATTATCCCTATGATACTAGGGAATTTAGGCAAAGCCAAATACTTTACAACGCTCGATTTAAAGTCCGGCTACCACCAAATTATTCTGGCAGAACGTGACCGTGAGAAAACTTCCTTTTCCGTAAACGGGGGAAAATACGAGTTCCGTCGACTGCCATTCGGGTTAAGAAATGCTGCCAGCATCTTCCAAAGAACCATCGACGACGTACTGCGAGAACAGATTGGCAAATTTTGCTACGTCTATGTCGATGATGTTATCGTCTTCTCAGAGGACGAAAACGCCCACATACGACACGTGGATTGGGTTCTAAAGAGCCTACACGACGCTCACATGAGAGTGTCGGCGCAGAAATCGGTCTTCTTCAAAAAAAGCGTAAAATTTTTGGGGTTTGTAGTCACCAACGAGGGGACCACGACAGACCCGGAAAAGGTCAGGGCCATTAAAGAATTCCCTGAGCCCAAAAACGTTTTCAAAGTAAGATCATTCATGGGCTTGGCTGGCTATTATAGATGCTTTATTAAAGATTTTGCATCAATAGCTAAGCCCATTTCGAGCATCATAAAAGGGGAGCTCGGAAATGTCAGCAGACACAGATCCAGAAGCATCCAGGTACTGTTTACCGAGCCGCAACGGCAAGCTTTTGAAAAGCTACGTAACATCCTGGCCTCTGAGGACGTCATCCTCAGGTACCCCGACTATAAAAAGGCGTTTGATCTAACGACAGATGCCTCAGCATATGGCATTGGCGCAATGCTTTCACAAGAGGGGCGCCCCATCACTATGATCTCTAAGACCTTAAAGGACAGAGAAGTTAACTACGCTACCAACAAAAGGGAGCTGTTAGCTATAATTTGGGCGCTAGAGAACCTGCGCCACTACCTTTATGGGGTCAAAGATTTAAACATCTACACTGACCACCAACCGCTGACCTACGCGGTATCGGATTCCAATCCGAATACAAAAATTAAAAGATGGAAAGAACGCATCGATGAGTGTGGTGCCAAAGTCCATTACATGCCTGGCAAGGCCAACCTAGTTGCAGATGCCCTCTCGAGGCAACAACTCAACGTTGTAGAAGAAGAAGAGGCATTCTGGCACTGCAAAAACCGAGTAACGGACATTTTTGCAGTTGATGAAAGGCGGGAAATTCTGACTGTCGAGCACAACAGAGCTCACAGATCTGCCCAAGAAAACGTGAAGCAGGTACTCTCCGAGTACTACTTCCCGAAAATGGCCAAGCTAGCGAATGAAATAGTCATTTCGTGCAAGACTTGCGCCAAGGCAAAATACGACAGGCATCCGAAAAAACAAGAGCTTGGCGAAACCCCAATCCCATCTCAAGTAGGAGAAATGCTGCACATAGACATCTTCTCCACGGATAAAAAATATTTCCTTACGTGCATCGACAAATTCTCGAAATTTGCCGTAGTCCAACCAGTTCCCTCTAGGACCATAGAGGATCTCAAACCAGCATTACTACCGCTGATGAATATTTTCCCTAAGGCCAAGGTCGTATATTGCGACAACGAACCATCGTTGAACTCGCACACCATCGTGACCATGCTGGAAAACCATTTCGGCGTTAGCATCTCAAATGCTCCGCCCCTACACAGTGTCTCCAATGGACAAGTAGAGCGTTTCCACAGCACTTTGGTAGAGCTTGCTAGATGCCTTAAAATCGATAAAGGCATCAGCGATACCGTAGAGCTGATACTTCTGGCCACTGCCAGATATAACAAGTCCATCCACTCGGTCATCGACAAGAGACCGGCTGACGTGGTTCAGGCAGAATCAGGTGAGCCACAATATGAAATTCAAGATAAAATTAAACTCGCCCAAGACAAGCTCCGGGACAGAGAAAACGCTTCCCGCCAAAATAGAGTATTCGAGGTTGGCGAAAAAGTCCTAGTGAAGTCCAACAGACGCCTAGGCAACAAACTCTCACCATTATGTGAAGAGAAAACCGTTGAAGCGGACATGGGGACCACAGTCCTCATTAAGGGGAGGGTGGTCCACAAAGACAACCTTAGGTAGGCCGAGCGCGACCATGTTATCGCTCGCCTGATAATCTCACTTTTCATTATCTTTTTTCTAGCCACTAGGCATAAGTTTTGCGCCCTTTATTATTTTAATCATGCTTTGGTGGTGGGCTACCCAACTTCAACAAAATTCATAACACATCAAAATTACAGGTTTTCAACCATATCCCTGATTCTCCTTTTGGCCACAACTTCGGCACGCGTCACGGACTATTCCAAAGCCAAATATATCCCCATCGTTGATGGGCGAATCCTGATATGGGAGGAATTTGCCTTTATAAAGCACTCGGCAAATCTCTCGGAATATAGGCGCGTCATCGAAGAAACTAATGGGATGACCGTCATGTTCCCGCAATCCCACATGCAGAAACTCCTGGTTGTTGACGTCGCCCACTTACGCGACATGCTCGACTCTTTGAGCGTCCATCATAGAGTGGCAAGAAGTTTAGACTTCTTAGGGACTGCGCTAAAGGTGGTGGCAGGAACGCCGGACGCAGAAGATTTTGAAAAAATTAAATTTAATCAATTCCAATTAACAAATGCAAACAATAGGCAGATTAATATTAACAACAAAGTACAAATTCAAATTAATAAAATTTCCGCTACCGTCAACCAACTTCTGAGGTCGGCAAAAAAGTCCCAAATTGATACTGGGCATCTATTCGAGATGCTTTTAACTCGAAATAGGATGATAGCAATGGAGCTACAGGGTTTGATGCTAGCAGTGGCACTTGCCAAAGTTAATATTGTTAGCCCCAGCATCCTAGATCATGCAGACTTGGAAGGTGTGTGGATGGAAGAGCCCACCGAGACCGCGATTAGGGATGTTTTGTCCGTATCGTCCGTTAAGATCTTACAGTCCGATAACATATTACATTTTATTATTAAGTTTCCAAATTACATATTACTATTATTAATTTCCATATTACATTTTATTATTAAGTTTCCAAAGATAAAGTCGGCCTGCAGCAAGATTACCGTTTTCCCAGTGTCACATCACGACACCATGCTCAGGCTGGAGGATAACGTCATTGCCGAATGCAACAGTGAGATCCACACCGTGGAAAAGTGCTCCCCGACATCAGGAGCTACATTTTGCCGATTGGCTCGCAGAAGATCATGCGCCCAAGAGCTTCACGCTGGAGGCACGGCGCATTGCGAGACCCAGCAAAGCGATTTACATCCCATCACTTATGTTGATGAAGGAATAGTAATTGTGAATGATCGCTCGGCTCACGTGTGTGTGGACAATGGCACCTGTGCCCATATAAAAGGCACATATCTCATCACGTTTGAAAAGAGTGCCATGGTCAATGAAACCCGATTGGTCAATCATGACACGGCCCAGAAGAGGGCTCCAGGAGTGGCCAGCTCTCCTTCCCTGAACATCACCATGGAACGTGACGTTCTTAGCCTTCCATACCTTCACCGACTGAGTGAACGTAATCTGGAGCACATCAAAGAGTTCGGGAAGGAAATTAATCACCAGCGACTACATCAGTTGGTGTTCATAGCGGGAGCAATATGCTGCGCTCTAATTTGCATCGGCTTGACCTATCGGCGAGTCACTCAGGCCCGAAAAACCGCGGCCCAGCTGAAGGAGATGATTGCCCAAATAGGGTCGGCCGAGGGCGGCCTCATTCCTGAGGGGGGAGTAGTTAACTGAAGTTAACCAAGCAGCGGCAATGTCCGATTATTTAAGAGCTCGCTCTGGCCAAACTGCTGACATAGCGTCTGGCCGGAAGCCCATGCATAGCGGCAAGCACTGCACATTTGCGTGGCCGCTATGAAATACTTTTTGTTAGCTTTAAGTTTCAGTTTGTGTCAGAGTCTCATACAATAAAGAGCATAAAACCAATCTCCGGCACTGCCGTTAATTTGTAAATTCATTTGTTGAATTGGTCACCGCGCCTCAAGGGCCGTGACAACGGGGCAAGTGCTCCCATCATAACTTCTGTTACAGGAAGGATCCCCCCCGGCAACCGCCAGGGATCTCAACCACTGCCTATAAGGAGTGGCAACACCCCCCCTGCAACCGCAAGGGGAAATCATCTCACAAATATCTCCGCCGTCTGCAGCATCGTCGACTGCAGCGAGGGATAACTAACTACTACTATATTTACCTACAAATCAATTTATATTTACTTATATACTGCGTGCAAAGGAAAGAAGGGTGTGTGCAAAGTTTCAAGACGATAGCTTTAAAACTGAGAGACTAGTTCGCGTAGAAACAGACAGACGGACAGACAGACGGACAGACAGACGGACAGACAGACGGACAGACGGACAGACGGACATGCTCATATCAACTCAGGAGGTGATCCTGATCAAGAATATATATACTTTATAGGGTCGGAGATGTCTCCTTCACTGCGTTGCACACTTTTGACCAAAATTATAATACCCTCTGCAAGGGTATAATAAGGGACTTAAGTCAACGAATGGACTACCTTATATAATTGTATCATGGGTATATCAACATCGGCTCCGCCCGAAGTTAGCTTTGTATAGCATATAGTCGGCCGATCCCGGCCGTTCCGACTTATATACTGCGTGCAAAAAAAACTGTGTGCAAAGTTTCAAGTCGATAGCTTTGAAACTGAGGGACTAGTTTGCGTAGAAACAAAGAGACGGACAGACAAACGGACATGCTTATATCAACTCAGGATCAAGAGTTGCGTTGCTTACTTTTTACAATTATATTATAACAATTATATTATTATAATTATAGAAACAATTATAAGGGTACCCTCTGCAAGGGTATAAAAATAAAATAAAACACTTACATCTAATTCCATTTTTTTTCGGTAAATATCTCCCATGACACGAATACTTCGAGTATATGTTGCTTGATCTCCAGACATAAGGGACAGTTTGGTTGCCTCCTGAAAAACTCATATGCAAAAAAGTTCTGTATCGGAATCAATAGGTCCTTTTACCTTACAATAGTCCTGTGCATCACCTAGTTCACCTTGTTTTCTCAAGGATACAGCCATACGCAACAATGCAGCTCTATGGTAACATGAGTTTAGATCACCTAATTGTAGGGAACGTGATAGATCGTACGCTTTAGAGGCATAGATGGCACTCTTTTCATTATCCTGGAGTCGTCCAAAAAGCTCAGATAGCGCTACGTACACCTGAAGCTCTAGTGATGGATCGCCAATAGCCGTTGCAACCTTAAAAGCGCCTTGTAGACCTTCTAATGCCCTAGAAAAACCACCCATTTCAAGATAAACTCTGGCAACAGTTAAATGAACGAGACCACTCCGACATTTTGTTCCGCATTCGTTATAAAGGGAATGTCGAGCATAACTCAATGATCTTTCCAAGCCTCCTAAACTGGCATGTGCTCGACTTAGGTTAAGGTATGTCTCAGCTCGCATGTTGGCCGAATCCAACTCTTCTGAAATACTAAAATATAGAAAAAATATATATATAAATTATTTTATTCCCAAAAAAACAGAAAGGAAAGCTAGCTTCGGACGGTACCGAATTTTGTATACCCTTGGGGAATATTCTTCATAAATGGGTATATTATAGAGTCTGTTTTCATATAGCCAGTACAAATTTTCCTATTGTTTTGTAACGTCCTGGTTCTGATCGGGAGCACGCACTGTCTGTTGCCGGCCTAGCTCAGGGCCAGAGGGAGGGTTCTTGTGCTTCCCCAAATCAGGGTTACCAAATAAAAGAAATCGACAGTGCTTAAGGGAAGGGAGTGGCCAAAGTGGTGGGGGGGAAGGATGAAAATGAGGATCTTAGCTTGGAGAACTCAGGTGTTATAGATCTCCTCTTTACCCGCCCTACCTTGTTGCACCATTATCATTGGGCAACCCATTTTACGTTAGCTTGTCTCTGGAAACCCCACGGAAATATTTAGACGCGATTCATTATAATTTCATTACTTCATTAAATTCAATATGTTTTTAAGTAGTTGGTACATTATTCCTTAAATAACAATTCTAATCCTAATCCAACATTCTAGTTCCAAGTGATTACCCTAACCTTAACTTAAAATGATTTAGTTTGATTTAAATTTTATGATTTAGTTATTTTATGTTGATTTGAATTTAGAAAATTAGGAATATTACTCTACTTTTATTTAAATGACTTCACTTCATCCCAAATATTCATATACATATTTATATCTCTTTTCTATGTCATTCTAACAAATATTCGTTAGGTTGTTGCGGCTATGCCGTACTTACAGCTCGTCCCTCGAGGTCAGCAGGCCTGTCGACTTCCGATGCAGCTATGTATTTATATGTTTTTTCTAAAGTTTACTTCATAATAATGTAGATATATATATATATAGATATTAAAGGATGTAGTACGTAATTAATTTAAAATAAGGCAAAATCTTTCAAGAAAAACTTATTCATTCTAGAAGTAAACAAATATGATTCAAACTTCTTTCCTTTTTTACATTCCCTACAGTGGCAGATCAGCCATGCATCTAAAACTGTGGAGGTTACATGGTATTCGTTTTTCTGTTAATTCTCTTGGGGAAATAACGGCTGCAACGTGGTAGAAAGCAGAACACAAATCCGCGAGAGCTACTTTTATAGTAGGCGAGAGGAGAGGGGGTTGATTCCACGCCTCATGGAAACCTCGTGGTCCTTATGTAATGTCAGGGAACAGCGGAGGGGGTTTCATGAAGCTCCGTTACTTTTCCTCCAAAACGATCCTCGATAGCTCTAATTCCTTATCTCGGATTCCTGCGTTTCCGGCTTAAATATATTTTATATATGTGCTCGGCCAAAATACCAGGCCACCATGGCTCTGCGAAATACATGGCCATTAGAACTTCCACACGAATTGCAGTTTCTTTTTCTCACCTGATATTGGCCGAACCACAGGGAAAATTAAACAGCAACTCTCAATTGCACTTGAAACTCGCACTTGTTTGGTTGCAACTAGTTTCATAAATTCACTTTAATTCAAATATATGGATTGCGGAACACGTGTAATTAGGTATTTCCACGTGTTTTATTCTTAAAAAGGTGAAATCTTAGGTCAATCCGCTTGAGTCAAAGAACGATTTGAAAGTGAAACTGGGCTTATCTTTGCAGCGAAAACGAACCTACTTGCACATGCCAGAGAGCTTTAACGGTTCAAAAAAAAATGGCATAGGAAAGAAGGGGACGGCAAGTGTGCACTTTTGGAGACTACTGCAATCTGCACAATGGGACACAACTGAAATTGTTTGTCTTAAAATTTGCTCGTGAAAATCACCCTCACACCCACAGGTTGGAATGAAAAATTTATTTTTCGGCTCAAAGCTGAAAAAAGGGTGATCTTTACCAAATGTCTTTAGCATGAAAGGTCCCTAATTCTTTTACTGATAAGTCTTCTAGTAAATACAGCGATTGTCCGCACTTTTTCTTTACTCGGACTTTTACTCCAACAGGCGCTAGCTTAGCGTTGCAAATCCCTACGGCATTGCTTAGCTTAAAGTTTCTCTTCGTTACTATCTGGCCAATATTAAATGTCCGGTGATGGCTTCGCAAATCATAGGTACGTTTGTTGGTCTGAATGGCTTTCTACATATGTTTTTGAATGTCACCTGGAATATTGGAAAAGTTTTCTAATCGATTAAGGGTAGTGGATCCCTCATTAATTAATCCCAATTTTTCTTAAAGTTGGTAATCGTTACCATGAGTAATCATGTTTTGTCCAAAAACGGCTAAATATGGGGGCATTCCAATCGACTGATGTTGATTATTTCGCAAGGCGCTATTAATGCTACTCAAGTACTTATCCCTTTCCCTCTGATCAGACCGAATGTAAGATCTTAATGCCGCGTTAATAGATCTATTAACTCGTTCTGCAGCGTTGGATTGAGGAGCATATGCTGCTGTGCACCGGTGTTGGACTCCGTACCGATGCAAAAACGCAGAGAAGTAATTTCCCTTAAACTGTCTACCGTTGTCAGTAACTACTATCTGTGGCACTCCAAAGCAATCGAAAATATCCTCTTTAAGGATTTTAACAACAATCTCCCATGTAAATTTCTTTACAGCCTTCAAGAAGGTGAATTTTGAGAAGTGATCCAAAATTATGAATATTCCTATATATCCTCATTTGGTTCTAGGAAAAGGACCGATGAAATCGAGATATAGTCTCTGAAAAGGTCTCTCGCTTTTAGTTTGCTGTCCCATTGGAATTTTCATTTTCTGTGTGGGATGTTTGCAAGTTTGACATACCTCACATTGGCGGATATTGATAACCATTCCTGACCATGAGAAAGTTCTGCGGATTCTCTCTAAGCACTTTGCCATGCAACAATGCGAAGCGGATGGTTGATCATGGGCTGCTCTAATAACTTCTGTTCTCAATTGCCTTGGGACTACCAACTTCCAGCACTGATCGTCTTTATCCAGATCGCCTCTGGAAAAGTTACGACGATGATAAAGCAAGTTGTCAACTACCTGATAGTCGGGCATGTTAATTGAAACTGTCGACTGTAATTGTCGATCAGTTCTTTATATTCCGAAGACTGGAACGCATTGGAACGAAGATCTATTTCGGGCCATACTTCGATGTCTACATTGGCAACGTTCACATCTCCTTCGAAAGATCGAGAGATGGCATCGGGTACAACATTTTCACTTCCCTTTCGGTGTTCTATGGTCAACTGGTATCCTTGAAGTTTCATGGCCCATCTTTCTAGTCTACCTCTCAAGTCGTTCTTTTTCATTAACCAACTTAAACTAGCATGATCGGTGATTACTTTAAAGGGGTGTCCTTCGATGTACATTCTAAATCTATCGATGGCTAAAACTACCGCTAAACACTCTAATTCGGTTACTGAATAATTTCACTGAGCCTTGTTAAGCTTTTTGGACATATAACTGATTGGCCGCTCGTATCCGTCTTCGTCACACTGCGCCAATAATCCTCCTACTCCATAGATGGATGCATCTCACTGAATGATGAAAGGTTTGTCGTTATTGGGACTAATTAATACTGGCGATAAACATAATTTATCTTTAATGGCTTTAAAAGATTTCTGTGCATCGTCGTTCCATGTTAGGCATTTTCCTTTCAATAATTCTGTGAGTGGAAAAACTATTGTCGTAATTGTTTCTGCGTTGCAGGCACAGGATAGTCTGAAATGGCACGGACTTTGTCGTTGTTCGGTTGTAGAGTGCCCTCTCCTACTACATATCCTATATATTCCATTTTAGATAAGCCGAATTGACTTTTGGCTTTATTGATGGTCAACCCTGCATTACGTTTAAGTAACTACGGTTAAGTGAGTCAGGTGTTCATCCAAAGTAGAAGACAATACCAATAGGTCGTCTAGGTAAACCATCACGTGAGACTTTAATTGATATGGTATAACCTGATCCATTAATCTGCACATTGTTTGGGGTGCATTACACAAACCAAAAGGCATGCACTTAAACTGGTATTGCGGTCGATTTGGGACAACAAACGCGGTTTTTGGTCGAGATTTCTCTTCTAAAGAAATTTGCCAAAACGCGTCTTTTAAATCGATTTTTGAAACGCATCGAACTGCAGGAAGTCTACTCAATAAACCTTCTAAGTGCGGCATAGGATATGTGTCCTTTGCGGTAACACTATTCAATTTTCTTGAATCCAGACAAAACTTTACCTTTCCTGGTTTTACTAATAGGACAATCGGTGAAGACCATTCCGATGGAGGTGCTTTTTATACCCTTGCAGAGGGTATTATAATTTTGGTCAAAAGTGTGCAACGCAGTGAAGGAGACATCTCCGACCCTATAAAGTATATATATTCTTGATCAGGATCACCTCCTGAGTTGATATGAGCATGTCCGTCTGTCCGTCTGTCTGTCCGTCTGTCTGTCTGTTTCTACGCGAACTAGTCTCTCAGTTTTAAAGCTATCGTCTTGAAACTTTGCACACACCCTTCTTTCTTTTGCACGCAGTATATAAGTCGGAACGGCCCGGATCGGCCGACTATATCCTATAGCTGCCATATAACTGATTGATCGGAAATGGTATAACTTTTGTGTTTTTAGAGTTAGAGAGTTCAAATTTGACATTTTTATATTTTTATTTTTGGCAAAACATTACGTCATGCCAAATTTCATAAGGATCGGCCGACTATATCCTATAGCTGCCATATAACTGAACGATCGGAAATGACCCAACTTTCGTGTTTTTGAAGATAGAAAGCTGGAATTTAATACAGCTTTCTATTTTTTGTCAGTTAATCCAACCTACCGCATTTCATTAGGATCGGCCGACTATATCTCATAGCTGCCATATAACTGAACGATCGGAAATGGTATTTGGTAGAAATATCAACTTTCGTATTTTCGAAGATAGAAGTTTGGGACTTTTTTTAGATTTTGTATTGTAATAAATTGGATTATATATTCCTATTCAGATAAGGATCGGCCAACTATATCCGATGTTTG